AACTACTGTACTAGATCGGCCGCGCCGCTCCACTGCCCGTGCCGCCAGCAGTGGTTGCGTTCAAGGAAATGAAGGGCGAGAGTGGGCTTAAACGTATTGCTTCTGCATTGTCGCGGCATATGTTAAGCTGTTATACACCTAAAAACAGGTTTTAAGAGACTTCTTTTGTCAAATAATTTATCTTCTTGACACGCTCAATTATAATCAATGCAATGAGTAAACATAATTAAAGTACTATTTAACACTTAATCTTAAAGTTTCTTCCGTAATTAACAAGATAATAGGGGAGCAGTGCGTGAAAATGCTCAAAAAATTAACTTTTATTAAATGATGACAAAATATTGTGTATTTTGTGCTGTTTAAGAAAACATATAACACTTTATACTTTGGATATTTTCTTACATAAGAAGGAATCTTTAATCCTCCATTAAGATAAATTAAGGAAACTACCCATTTTCCCGGGTTTTCCTGATTTACTAAGCTTGTAATAGTCTTATCTTCAATCAAACTGCATATTTGCATTTAGGATAAAAAAACTGAACAATTTGAGTACCCATAGTCTAATATTGTAAATAAAAATAATTTTCCCGGATTTTTGAAAGAGGGCCCTGCAGGATTCTACTGAGCCTGCCCTTCAAGGGTTCAAATGTGAATATCCGAAAGTTAGTTTTTATAAGTTTAGGAACCATTCTAAAGAAAACTACTTAACTCATCAAGCCCAAATTTTACACAATACTTTCTGTTACCATGGTGAATTGTTTCATGCATTTTTAGAATGTTACCATTAGTTTTACTTTAAAAATAAATTGTTTATTATAAAAAAAACACAATTAAAAATTAGTAATTTTTATTTAATTTTATATTTTAAAAACAAGACCTAGTTTCATGTTTATATAGCATGAAATCATAGAAAACAATCTAAGGAATGAATAAAAAAAAATTAAGTCAATACCTCTAACGGTTTTAAAAATAAATGTACCTATCTAATCACATGTTTTCCCATAAGAATAACATGGAGTGGTATTCTCGCACTGCTCCCCTTAATATAAAATAGGTTACGTACCTTACGTCGTCAATCCTAGGTTAGTCTTTTTAGCGACTAGTTTCGAAACTGACGTTTCATTTTCAAGCCTTGTCAAACATAAAAACTTGTGCATAATGTCGTCGTCAAAGTACACAACTATAAAATTTAACACGCACAAATACATTAAGATACAGAAAAGGATAAGATTCTTGAAAATGAAACGTCAGTTTCGAAACTAGTCGCTAAAAAGACTAACCTAGGATTGACGACGTAAGGTACGTAACCTATTTTATATTGTCTTAAATCAATTCTGGAGGCAATGCTGAATAAAGATAATATTGTTTATAAACTAGATTCTGTTTGTTTAAATCTTTATAAACATGGGATGCAATCACTTTTATTATTTTGTTTGGTAGTAGAATGAAATAAAAACATCTGAATTACCCTCTGAATTTCAGCAACTACATTTTCCTTTGTGTCTTGCTTTCGCAATCACCATTATATACCTGAATACCTGAATATCGTTGGTTTAAAATTTAGAAAATACATGCTTTTCACATGGACATTAGTATGTTGCGTGCTCACGTGGTGGTAGGTATGCCTAAAACTTATATATTTATACACGTAATGAAAAAAAAACAAAGAACATTGTTTATCCACTGATAATTAAATAAAATATTATATTTTAATTTTTGGTATACACTTTTATTATTCATTGTAAAGAACAAATTACCATTCAAACTAATAGTTGTTAAGCGCAGTAACGCGCGCCGGGTAACTGCTAGTTAATTATAAAATAAGTAGTTTTAATAAGTTAATGACTGTCGTTAACAAAAATAACCTTTGAAAAATAAGTTTTAAACTCTATTAAAATGTGCGATTTGCACACGGGTCCCTCGTATTCTGTTTTATCAACCCTTTGTTTTAAACTTATTTCCTACATTTAAGTGATATTAAATTGTACGGAAAACGAATAACTTCGTAACTATCTTCTATCTATATATTAATAGGCAAGCATGTTTCTTTAAAACCTTTTTTCTCAGCTCGTGTGCATCGTAGGGAAAATCTACGCATACCGTTGGAAAGCTATTTTCCTGTAGGTGTGCAGAATCCCTTTATAAATTTAAATAGGCTCAAAGATAAGCACAAAAAATGAGTTTAAAAATTTGAAAAAATTAACATGGATCTTATGCGTTGCTATGCTGGTTACGAAATAACAACGAAATATAAACAGAAAATCAAAACAAATGGAGGAAACTCCAATCACATGTTTTATTTACAGTGTGGGGTGAAAATAGATAAGTGAGTACATTACATATTTTTGGTCGAGTTTCGACCACTGGACGACCTCTCGTTTTTACTTAAGAAACAACTAATTGGCTCAGAGTGTTTCATGTGGTATTAAAAGATGTATTGGGAATCCCTCTCTTAACTAAATATTTATTTATTTTTTTCCTATATTCATCCTGCTCTATATTGTCCCTCGTAAATGCTTTTAACGGCAGTACTGATGATTTAATTATTTTAAAGCTAAATTAATTTAATTTTTTTATTTATTCTCTTGCTTTACGATTCCGCCATGCAATTAAAACCAATGTACTGCATCCAACAACATTCCCTAGGCTTATAACATTAATTCAAAATCATGTCCATACGTTATTACGAGAATAGGGTAATTGATCGGAGTGCTTGGGGTAAGGGATGTGGCAGTAATATGTTTCAAATGCACGTTACGTTATTTAGGCAAGATGATTCAACCATAATGATAATATAATAGCGATAAAACTATTTAAAAAAGGATTAGCTTATATCAGAAGAATAATTGGCCCTTCTTTAATTAGTGTATTGAAACAATGTAAGCTTAATATTTCCTGTGACATTTCCACCATCTTTTATAATTCTTTGAGAAACAAACTCCTCAATTTTGGCCAAATCTTGATATTTATATTTTCATAGTCAAAAACCTATCATGGTAGGTAAGTGTTGTATAAATGCTTCAGTTCGTCTTAACCAAATAACTTTAGTAGACAAACTCATTTTGCAAGTGAATTGTAGGCGATAATCCGTAAAAACTATCACTAACTATAGTAAAAGTGTTTTTGTCACACAACTATTTTGAAACTCAAAAACCTATTTAAACGAATTTAAAGAACCACCAAAAATCTTCAGTTAATTATTGTAAGTTATTTGGCCAGTGTATTTCCACTAGCAATTCACCTGTTTTCTATTGACGGCTGTCGGAGAGAGGCTGCGGTTTTGAGGTTTAGCTTCTGAATACTTTTGCCACTTTCAAGAGTGTATTCCTTGATTAGCCACCCACTTAGCTTATCGCGAAATTGTATTTGTAACAGGTCAACAAAAACTACGATATTCAGTGAAAGATAAATATAGGATTGACGACTGACGTGAGGTATATAAACTTATTTTATTTGCCATAAATCAATCTTGGAGCAATGCTGAATAAAATGAAAGATACAATTGCCCTGCGGTATTATATTGACAGATACGCGATCCAACTTTTAACATTTTGTTTTGGTAATTGAATTCCAGTTTGAATTGTATTAACAGTAATTGATCGATAATGTTGTACGACTAATCGTCAACGATATAGAGAGAGAGCACAACAATAGAGGTAGAGATTCGCAGTATCAATCGCACTTCAGAGATGAAATACCGTGTAAGAGCATTTTCACCTGAAAATCACAATTAAATTGCAGTATTGGTTTAGCATCTCTTCATTGTTTATCAAATATCTTTTATCAGATAAAATATCTCATCCCGTTTAATTACGCTACTGTACACATGTACTATCTTAGTGCATTGTTATAAAGTCACTATTAATTTTTTTCATTAGTTTCCTACATTCCCAAACAAAATTTACAATAAATAGAACTTTTGGATTAAAAGCTAAAAACGTACTGGAGACAAAAACCATCATGTAGTTTATTTAGGTGACAACTACGTTAACAAAGTTTTAGTAATTAGTTTAAATCGTTAGCAAAAGACAGGAAATTACTTGTAGTTTGGCTCTGTAAACTTTTCTCTGATTTTTTTTAATAATACCCTCATTTCGTTTGTGTATTATGAACCACCAATATGATTGTTTAATTGAATTTCTTGTCATGATTTGATCGGCCATAAGGTCAATACTATTATTTCTACATTTATGTATATTCTTCTTTTTATGAAAAACCACTGCTTGCCTTCATCTGGCTTCCCCATGAAATTTGGCATAAAGCTATTTGTTATAAACTTGACTCCTCATTGTCAATGATAACACATTATTCTCGATCTTAACCGTATTAAAAATTGCTTTAATTTTGTTTCATATAATAGGCCATCTGGATAAATATCGAGATATTAAAATCTGTAAAAAAGTATTTTCCAATAATATGATATGTTAATTTAATGTTAATGTAACAGTTCTTTACAGAATAACTTAAAAGACTATTTTTTTCTTTATTTTGGTAATACTATTTAACATTAATAATATATTTTTTTATGTCACAATTATTGAATAAATAATCACTATGTTGTTTAAAGACTTATATAAAATTAAAATATATGTTGATACTGACATTTTAAAACCGAGAAATATAATGGTTACAGATCTTTAAATCTTGGGCATTTACAATAAAAGGGTCTAATTACTATGCTATAGTGTGCTGCAGCTGTAAGGTTAGGTTGGTTTGGTTTTTTTCAGTTAATTTAGTTTACATTAGCTTAGTTTAGTATTGTAAAATTATAAATAAGGTAACATTATTAACTTGTGTTATTTGCCAGAGTTATATTTACTAAGATTGTAATCGTAAACTCATTTTTTATGATCTGAAAAAGGTTAAAAAGTATTGAAAAAATGGTAGGGTAAGTTTTCATAAACTAAAAATTCCCTAAGTTATCTCAACCGCAGTGCACTAAAAAATAATGAACCTGCTTTTTGAAAATAACTAACCTTTTTTATTAAATTACTAATTACCTGAAGTGGCTCTTGTAGAAAGTAGTGAAGCTGTTTAAAGTTTTAAAAATAGTTGTACAACCCCTATGATATTAACTAGTGTACGTAGGCTCGCACGAGTGTTGGGGTAGGTCTGGGTACAGGGTCAGGGGTGTACCTACGCGACGACCGTCGACGCACTGACGATATCGTTTCGTCTCCCGACACCCCCCCCCCCCCGAAACCACCCCTTCAACCTCTTTAAGCTCCCAATACCCACAACCCACTTTTTCCTACACCTCTAATTGTCACCCTCTTCAATTTTAAAAGACATAAAAATCTTGTAAATGTACGTTTCAATTTTCTTTTCCATCGGTAAAGTCGTTATGATTATACTTGCATTTTAAATAAACGTTATGAGCAATCTGACACATACCTTCTCCCATTAGCTTTTCAACAACCCTTATCATTAACAAGCGGTGGGAATAACTATAATATTTTATGGGGAAAATCATACAAGTTTCAATATCTTTTGAACTTTAATTATTACAGCAATGGGGGATGTACTGTTTAGTTTTGAACAATAAGCACTATAACATAATAAATTTAACAACAATTCGTAAAAACCTTTTAAATATATACAGTGTGTAAATTAAGTATGGAAACAAATCTGTATTTTTAAAACCGAAATAGATAGAAATATTCTATTTGTGGCAATAATAGTTAACAAAGATTCCGCAATTTTTCACATGAAAAATATTTTTTTACCCCCCTAACAGGGTAGGTGGTAGGGGGTGACTTATTTTTTTCAAATAGCAACCCCTATTGAGTGACCCCTCATTTTGAAGGGTTTGTCAAAAGAAACACAATGACGCAAATCCGAGGTGAATATATCACTCCTAGCCCAAATGGCGGATATTCCAAAATTTGATTTATTGTACGTGAAAAGCACCAATTTCACAAATAATGGAAAGAAATCTGTATTTTTAAAACCGAAATAGATAGAAATATTCTGTTTGTGGAATTGATTGTTGACATAGGTTCCGCAATTTTTTTAATCAACAATATTTGTTCAACCCCTTTAACAGGGTAGGGGGTGGGAGTGACTTATTTTTTTCAACAACAACCCCTATTGAGTGACCCCTCATTTTAAAGGGTTTGTTAAAAGAAAAAGAATGACGCAAACCCGAGGTAGATATTTCACCCCTAGCCTAAATGGTGGGTAATGAAAAATTTAATTTTTGTAAAAAAAGCCCATTTTGGAATATCCGCCATGTTAGCTAGGAGTGATATATTCACCTCGGATTTGCGTCATTGTGTTTCTTTTGACAAACCCTTCAAAATGAGGGGTCACTCAATAGGGGTTGCTATTTGAAAAAAAATAAGTCACCCCCTACCACCTACCCTGTTAGGGGGGTAAAAAAATATTTTTCATGTGAAAAATTGCGGAATCTTTGTTAACTATTATTGCCACAAATAGAATATTTCTATCTATTTCGGTTTTAAAAATACAGATTTGTTTCCATACTTAATTTACACACTGTATATTTTTTTATGACCACTAAAAGAAAACATTTCTAAACATGAAAAAAGGCGTTTAGACACCATGGATGAGCACACATATACCAATGGTATGTAGCTCTGTACACGTACACACATCAGTCACTCGCACAGACATCCCTTCGAAAAGCACTTTTAGGAATCAGGGGCCCAAAACAGATATAATTACTCAAAGCTCAAACTCGAATAATTTGACGAAAACAATACTTTATCCATATATATAGCTATAGGGGTATGGTTTACTTAAATTGCAGTGATTTTAATCAGGTGTAGCTTTAGATATTTACATTGGATACATAATGTTAAAATATTAATGGAGTAGTAATCGTCTCGTATATTTTAAACAAATGCACCCCAACAAAAAACCTATGTGAACAACATGTCTCTTGGAAAAAAATATAATGGTTTATCATAATTCGCTTGAGTTTCCAAAACACCTAGAAGAACTAACTGATTATTCTAACAGCTTTTGTGCTGCCAGTGATAGGCTGAAACTTATTAAATCACAATAGCATGCAGTTGAGCACAGCGCTAACGTGTATAAATACTATTATCAACATAAATACATCAACAAACTGCTTCAAATAATATGTTAATATGTTCACTGGTGCACTGCTGGCTGCTGGTGTTGCACCTTAAAGTGAAAACTGATCAATAATTTTAAATCTTATATATTTAAAAGATTTTGCAAAACTTATGACAGCTAGCCTGACCATTCTACTGTACCGAATTAATACTTTTAATACTTTAATACTTTTCGATGAAATGGCGACCATACTAAGTAGGTATTTTAAGCCAAGTATGAATGGAGATGAGTGTGGAATGAGTGGCGCGATCTTGTAGTCTTGTTAGTGACTTAGGCCGATATATTCCTTAGACACAGCTGTTAATTAATAGCCCATACAGCTAATGGCAACTAAGGGACCTACAGTTTATAGTGGAATCTGAACCACATTTTCGCCTTGGTATATACGAATTGGTCTAATTATCAGGATAGTACTGCGGATAGTCGTATTACTCACTCGTGCGGATGTTAATCCAAACCAGAGAGTATCGCATCCACAGTGCATGCCTATAAATATCCACAATTCGTGACCTCCTAGTAGCTGGATTACAGGACGACGCCACCCGTCCCAGTCGATTAGCATGGGCTGTAAGAAAGGAAAGGTTACCGGTCCTATATGTGCAGGTTGTATTTGTATTTTTAAAATATTTATGTTACTTGGGTCAAAAATGGAAATTAAACTTTTCTTTTGGACATTTAACATGGTACTAATTCTCCATATTAATAGACAAGCATGTTTTTTGAAAACCTTTTTTCTCAGCTCCTGTGCATCGCAGGGAAAATTTACGCATTATGATAGAAATATATTTGCGTTTAAATGTGCAGAATCCCTTTATTATTTAACACACTTTGTTGTTTTTTTTTTTAAACAGACTCAAAAATAAGTACAAAAAATAATTTAAAACTTAAAACATCTAATATGAGCCTGAAGGGTTGCCATGATGGTGACGAAATAACAACAAAATATAAACAGAAAATTGAAACAAATGGAAGAAATTCCAAACATGTTTTATTTACAGCGTGGGGTGAAAATTTATTTTATTTTATTATTTTATTTTATTATTTATTTTATTTAGGTAAGTTTGCACAATACCTAATTTAGGTCGAGTCTTCGACCACCGGACGACCTCTAGTACTAACTAAAATAACTATATGGCTTATCACTAATTTCGAATGGTTAAATGAGAAATAATGTTCTTGAAGCCTTTTGCATTACTATTGATATGTGGCCGGGGAAACTCTGTATTTAGTATTAATTGGCTTTTAATTCAAAGATTAATTCCTAAAACAGTTATTGCATCATATACATACATTCTGACTTAGTCAATGCATTTAAAGCTACTTCTAGCCAAACAAATTACTTAAATATCTTGTAGATTACTATGCTTTATATCTGTTTTATTGCAGCTTTGTATCACATTTTAATAATCCTCTTAAATACAGGGAATTTAATGTTGCAAATAAATTAAAATATTGCATGTCAGAGTGGTTTAGCACGTAAGTTTTACGTGGGTATTGAATTTATAACATATATTTTAAAATATCTGTAAACACAAAAATATTTTCTTTATAACGTAAAACATTGAACGTGTATGATTAAATGGTTTTAAGGTACAAAATATTATAAAGGAACAACGATGGAAGAAAATAGCTCTCCTATGTATACTTAAAGAATACGGAGCATTGTAAATATTCAATAAAGGATGTTTGTTTTCTTTTGGAGCGCGTGACAGGCCCTACTCCCTTTATAATTTTTCACAAGAAATCTTAGCATTTTGAATAAAATATAAATATATTTTCAATATATTGTTTTATATGTTTAAACTTAATTTTCAGTTCTCTATGGATGTATTCATACCTCTTGGTAAAAAATAAATGGGTTTTTGTAATGCGTAACTTATTCTCATACTATTTTTCACCTACTCAATTTTACCCAATCAATAATAACTACACATTAATTTAATAATTGAAGTTTGGTCTGAACATTTCAATTAAAACAACCATTTTAGGATAAACCCTTTTACAAAGCAGACATATTATCCTACTAATATTATAAATGGGAAAGTTTGGATGTATGGATGTATGTATGTTTGTGACAAGTAAACGCGAAAAATACTGGTCGGATTGGGCTGAAATTTGGTATGATGATAGCTCACATTCCCAATTAACATATAGACGCATTCTTATCTCAAAAATCCTTTCGGGCTCCACCCCAGTGGCTCTGGAGTTTCCCACGTTAACCTTATGTGTTATCATATTTAAAAGGAATAAAAGAATTTTGTCAGCTGCTTCAACTACAAAAGTTGGTTCTATGATATTGAATAGCATTGAAAAGTTACAAGGCTTACCAACAGGGTGCAGTACTATTATTTTTTACATTTATGACAACATCTATCCTGTAAAGGCCATAAAGGTTAAATTTTGTTTTTAAAAGGCTTATGTGTAACTATTTTATCAACAGATGTAAAGATCAAAATGTTACAATTTAGTGTTCTCTTCCCGTTGCAAAGCACGGGTACAAGAGCTAGTAATTCTATATTTTTAAGTTATAGCATTTCTTTTTGCTAAAACATACTACCTTCAGCAATATCTCACGCTAAAGTAACATCGAATACATCATACATATGTTTTCTGTTTTATGTTCAACCTAGAACTTTAGTGTGTTTTGTATGTATTTTGTTTCAATCATTGAACATCGCTTATGTGATTATGATAGAAGAGGGTGGTGTTGTTATGTAATTAGGTGAGTCCAAATTCCTCATCAAAACCTAAACGATAACCACTAAATGAAGATTTTGGGGCGGGGTTTTCACAGTGTAAAACTACATTAGCTTTAATTTGATATGTAAATAGTGTAATTTGAACTCGAATATTTTCAGGTATCCTTAAAAGCCAAGAATGGTTTTAATGGACGCATTTTTTCGCTTGTGGCTAAACACACTTTACAGTAACAGTACGAATTCACAGAAAAATGTATGAATCACTACTATGGGTTTTAATCTAGAGTATACAGAAACAAACACTCTCACAGTTCAGATTTCAAAACATTTAAA